GAGATCGGCTCGATGTCTTCGGCATCGCCGGCCCTGAAGACCCCAAATACATCACGGTACCGTGCGGCGTGAATAGCGCACACTGGTTTGCATCCCGTTTGCGGTTTCTCTGTTGCATGTGTTTGCAGTTGGTGAGTTTCCTCGCGATGGACCACCATCTGAATGCCTTTGAGAAGAACACGGCGCAGCTACAAACCAACACCGACACACGGCTCAGGTACTCACCCACACCACCCTCGCTGACGTGATAGCCCTCATGTGTCCATGTGTGTGTGTGTGTATGTCAGGTATGCGCAGCAGAAGTACAAGATGCGTCTGGAGGAGCTGGGCGAGGCTGAGAGGGTTGAGGGGCAGCTCAAGCTGGTCGAGGGAGGGGGCAGCGACGAGGAGAAGGAGGCTCTCAGCAGACTTATATGACATGTAGAAGCATACATACAGCTATGAGGGAATGGGAGGGAGATGTATTGGCCTTTTCGGTAAGTCGGTTGATGTGGCGTGATGTGACGCGAGTGCAAGTGACTGAGTGAGTAGTCAAGTCGCATGGTATTGCACTGTGAGAGACGTCTACGCATCCTCAAACCCACCAGCCACCCAAATACGAAGGCACGTCACACTCACTATTCCTTGGTGCACGTCATGCCATGTGACAGGTGCTATCTCTCTGGCAACAACACGCTCGCACACACGCTAGATTGAAGGCCCCACTTCACACACACACCGACTATCGCCCCCGGCACACGTATATCAGCGACGATTCAGCGTGACAGTGTGAGTGCCCGGCCAAGCCCTCGCCATGAAGAAATCAGGGGATTAGTGCTGTCAGCCCACTCCCCCTTCCTTGATACACCTGTAAAGGTGAGTTCTTCCATTTTTTGCTGTTTGTGTTCGTCTGCTGTTTGTGATTTTTTGCTGTGGGCGGCGGCACTGGGCGCTCAATCAGGCAGCCAGGCAGACGGTGTCTCCAGATGTCTGTCTCTCTGTCTGTCTGATGTGATGTCTGTGTGTATGCGATCAAGACGAGATGAGACATTGTTTGTGTGTCAAGGAATTCGCCCGCGTCTGTGTTGGCTGCGTTGGAGCTCAGTTGACCGATGAGCACCCGCTGTGCACTCAGGAAGCCGGCCAACCAAACACCCACCCACCCACCCACCCACCACGAGAGTGCCAGTCTGACGTT